AAACATCATATAAAACTGTATCTGTTTTTTAACATACCTTGTTTTCTTGACCTGAATGCTGCTACTGAGTTTTTCCAGCACATATTCACCAGTGTCATGATTAATAATAAGTACACAGTCTTTCTGATAAGGCCGTTTGTTCCCCTTGAACACAGTCATTGGTGGTGTGGATCCCTATTTGCCACAAAAGTATAAATGATCAAGCTAAGCACACCAATTATGAATATCAAAACTGACATTATAAATGGCTATCTCATCAAATCTTTTATCAGAGCTACTCAAAAAGATAGAACTGATCTATATAGAAAAAAGAAATTAACCATAATAGGTCTAAGTAAAACTTGAATAGTAAAACTAGTGAGTGCTCTCTAAATTTCTTATGGAGAGTCCAGGGCTTTCCATCATGTCCATAACCAACAGAGCCTTCTTGAGGGCAGCTCATTACCCTCAGGAAGCAAGGCCTGCTAGTCATCTGCCTAAGCCCTTCAATAACTCCCCTGTCACCCTTAGGCCAAAGGATAAAAATCTTCGAGCCAGCCATCAGGCCTTGCACCACCCAACCCTGGACTGTGTGTGCTTCAGAGCAGCTTCTTTCAGATCCTCAAGCTCGTTCCTGCCTCAGGCTTTAACAAGCTTCTGCTGGCTACATCCTCTCCCACCCCCAATACTGGGAATTGAACCTATGGGTGCTCTACTCCTGAATTTTATTTATTTATTTACTTACTTATTTATTGAGATAAGGTCTGCTAGGTCAGCAGGCTGGCCTTGGATTTGTGAACCACCTGCTTCAGCCTTCAAGTAACTGGGATGCCAGGTGTACACCATGGCACATACTGCCCGATCTGTGTGTGTCTGTATGTGTGTGTGTGTGTGTGTGTGTTTATTATTTTTCATACCAGGGACTGAACTCAGGGGTGCTTAACCACGGAGCCACATCCTCAGCCCCTTTTATATTTTATTTAGAGACAGGGTCTCACTAAGTTGCTTAGTGTCTTGCTAAGCTGCTGAGTCTGGCTTTGAACTTGCAATCCTCCTGCCTCCAACCACTGGGATTACAGGCATGTGCCACAGTGTCCAACTTTGCCTGCTATATTTTGAATCTCCTTTGAAGTTACTCTACATTCAGATTGAGTTCAAGGGTAATTTCCTTAAGAAAGCCTTCCCTGGTTTTCTAAAATATGTGCTTTTTTTTTTTTTAATTTAAATTCTAGACCGCAAGTTCCACAAGAACAAGAAAGGTGCCTTATTGCTCAAAGTTACGTTCTTTAAGCCTCAGTAGTCACTCGATTAATATTTGTTGCTAATAGGATTTAATGCCTTGCTTTGAATCAAAAACTGCTTGGCTCTTTGACTTCTTATTCATACTAAAAAAAAAAAAAACTTAGAGTTAGAAGGAACCTTAGGGACAATTTATCTAACCCTTTCATTTTACATTTGGGAAACTAAGGTCCAAAGGGAGATGATGTAACCTGACACAGACAGCAAATAATGAAATAGCTCTTTGAATGGGAAGATAATTTCTCCTTAGCACAAAGGTTTCTAGGTCCCTGTCCAGAGACTTTTTATTCTATCAGTAGCCACCAAGAACTTACTATGCTTCAGGACAGAGCTGTTAAGTGCAATGACACGTTTACAAAGAGCATCTTGTAATCAGAAGAGGATTTTTTTTTTTTTTTGCCTTATTTATTTGGTCTGGGGACTAGAGCCAGGGCTTGCTGCATGCTAAGAGCATGCTCCTCCACTGAGCTACATCCCCAGACCTCTTTTTTATTTTATCTTGAGACAGAGTCTTACAAGATTGCCTGGGCTGGTCTGAAATTTGCAATTCTTCTGCCTTAACCTCCAAGTAGCCAAATTATAGGCGTGTACCAACGCATTTGGCTTCAATGTAGTTTTTAACTGAGTTTTTCATCCTTAAATTGCCCACATGCTCCAAACCTTTGGTTTGCTCAGTATCTGATATGGCTATTTATCAGTAGGGCACTGGGGCTCTTCTCTTCAGAGCTGCTTAGGAGAAAAACTATGTACATTTAACAGAGGTGCTAGGTGTCCACATAGGAACCTCGCCGTCTTTGTAGCATATAGGGGGCAAGGGGAACTTGGGGAAAATGACAAACATTTTAACCAAGTGCCTGAGTAACTTGACTGAACTCTACCCCATCCCCATGATTCAAAATTCCTTTTTTACATATGTTGGCACTTTAGAAATCTAAAAGTTTTTACAGTTGGAAATTCAAATTGCAATATAATCATATACAAGGATTCACTGTGATGCTTTCATTAAAACCAACAACAATGGGATAAACTTACAGGAATATGTGGCAATGTAATTGTGACTTCATCTCCTTTGCCAACCTGAAGCTCTCCTTCACAGGACGTGTCTATAGATGCTGGTTTAAAATCATCTAAAGATAAAGGAAAAGACCAAGTTACTAAGAATAAGGGATTCCTGGACATTTTCATTTAAAAATTAATTTTTTTTCTTCTTTTCTTTTTTGAGGTACTGGGGATTGGACCCACAACCTTGCACATGCTAGGCAAGCACTCTACCAATGAGCTATTCCCCTAGTCCTTTTTTATTTTATTTTGAGTCAAGGTCTTGCTAAGTTGCCTAGGCTGGCCTCAAATTTGTGATTTTCCTGCCTCAGCCTCCTTAGTCACTGGGATTACAGATGTGCACCACCACATGCTCAGCTAAGAATTAAAATTTTTATTACATACATGGAAAGCAAAAATCATTTAGAATTCTTTAAAAACCATTTTATTATGGAAAACTTCATTTTTGCAAAAATAGAAAGAAAAGTACAATAAACCCACAAGTACCTTCATTCAGCTTCAATAATTACTATCTCAGAGACAATTCCATATACTTTTGCTCCAACCCCCATATGATTATATTGGGCAGGGGGTAAAGGGGTCTAAACCATTTCCTTCTCCCGAGGGACAGTTGAAAACCCATGCCTCATCATCCACAATAAAGTGTTTTATTAGGGTAATGAAGATCAAAAGCAATGAAGCATATGAAAAAAATACTTGATTGTAAACCCTATATGAAAAAGGCCACAGCATCATAAAAGATAATTCCATTTTGCATAGAAGCTGTCAGAATTTGCCACACTTACTGGACATGGCAGCACACCCCTGTAATCCCAGTGACTCGGAAGGCTGAGGGAGGAAGACTGCAGATGCACAGCCAGCCTCAAAAACTTAGTGAGGCTGTAAACCTAGTGAGACTGTCTCAAAAGAAAAAAGAAAAAAGAAAAAAAAAGGCTGGGGATGTGGCTCACTGGTTAAGTGCCCTTGGGTACAATAACTTGTAACAACAACAACAAAAAAAAAATTTACTACACTCAATTCCATAACTTCTGCAGATATTCAGACCAGATAGATGGTTGGGCTGTATTTCCAAAGGTTATCCTGCTGGTGTTTCTGAATCGCAGTTAAAGCACAACCCAAATAGCCATCTTACTTCACCTTTAACCCACACTTGCCTCAAACTGCAAGCCAGGAGTGTACATGAACGTTTCCCTTCATTGGAGGAATAGATCAACTTAGCAAACTCAGGAAATGAAGGTTTAATCACATTCCCAATATCCTCTCTTTGAAAGGGCTGAATCTGCTATCAGTAAGAAGCACAGAAATGGCACAGCAAGAGGCCACACAAAGATGGAACTTCATTTTCTAACACACCCTCTTCCTATGTGTTGAGTCACATCTATTAGTTCCTCTGATGAAAACAAGCCTCAACCAATGTTAGCACTACAGGAAACCAGAAGCATGTGAATCACAGGGGGATGCTCAGTCAGCCAATTCCTAACAGCCAAATCTTCACCCAGGACAGAATATAAGTACCCCCTCTCAACAGTCTATAATCACAGAGAAGAAGGTCCAGCATAATGACTATTTCCACATTCTTTATGTCTGCTCTATTCTGTTTCCAAACATAGATCCAACCTTAACCTATGCCAGGTTCACAAATTCTAATTTTACTCTTCTCCACAAGGGACCTGGTCCAGAAACCAGGGTGGTGCGGATGACCTCAAAAGACTTCAGTTTAAAGGCACGAAAGGCGTGGAGGTCGGGGGTGGCGCGACGGATCTGACAGAGCGCAGAAAGGATGCAGATTCCTTGGTTGAAGTGGAGACACAGCAAAGTGTCAGGATGACTAAAACCAAGACAGAAGAGGGTGGGAAAGCTGAGGAAAGCAGAGAACAGAATGAAACTGAAAGAAGCAAATGAGGCTTACAGCAAACGATAAATCCTTTAAGTATGCAGCCCCCCACCCCCCCCCGCACCACCACCATCACCTCTAGGATAATAGAAAGGGAAAAGGATTCGAGGGAGAAGAGAAGTTCGGTTTGGGAGTTGGGTCGAGAGGATGAAATAAGAAAGAGGCCAGTGACCTTCGGGGTTCATGTTAAGGATTATAAGGTAAATGAACATTTGGGAGTGACGAAAGATTTTGTTCGGGAGGAGTAATCCAGAAAAGAAAAGAAAAAAGAAAAGAATGAAAGTTGCAAATCGGGGTCCCAGAGGATCTGGGGTAAAAGAGAGGGGAACTGACGCTGGCAGGGAAGTCCCCGGACCCCGGAGGGCCGAAGGAAGAAAGGAGGGAGCCGAGGTTGGCATGTGGCGACTGGTGCGCTGACTTACAGCGGATGGTGTGGAAGGAGGCCCGTGGCCGCTTTTCGAAGCTCTCCCCGAGCCGCAGGCAATGCTCCTCGCGATCCAGCAGCGGGTTCGCGGTCCCGTTCATGGCCCCGCACCTGCCTCGCGCCCAGATCGGTTCTTTCTTGGCGCGGCCCCAGCACGAGCTCCCGGCACTGGTGCCCGGGAGGACGGTGCTCCCGGAACACCGCTCCGGAGCGCACGGACAGCCAAGCCGCCGCCCACCTGGGACCGGAAACGAGTCTCTGCGTCGGGACCCGGGAAGACTCTGAGGAAGCAAGGCCGCAGGACTTCCGGCGTTTGGTAGGTACTTCCGGGTTCCTAGCGGAAGTAGCAGAGGTGGTGCCACGGTAAGAGAAGTCCGCCGGGAAAATCCTAATTCGAAGTTCTCCTCGCTGGTTAGTGAATGCTCAGGATGTTTCACCGCGGTTCCCGAATTCTATCTTCGGAGCCCGTGCTTGGTTGAGGGGTGAGTGTGCCCTGCCCTACCCTGTAGGTGAGTCAGGGAACTGATGGCGGTCGAGCCCAGAGCGTGGAGAACTACTTTAACTCGAGTCTCATAACTAATGTGGGCCGCTCTCCTCATTTCCTTAGTGACTCGTGCGGCCTAGTTTATCCCGAGTGTCCTGCTAGAGATGGGTCCTCGGGACATTAACCACGTGTCCTTGGGTCACTACCCCTACTTGGCGCCGCGATGACGGTGAGAGGGCTTTGGCCCCTTAGAAAGCGCGTCTCCCTCTGGTTCATGCGGCAGCTTCTTGTGATTGCGGTCAGAGCTTAGCTCTGTGTCCTCCCAGAAAGCCTGTCTCCGACCCTAAGGAAGCGCCGATCCTGCTTCTGTTCGGGCAACTGTTGTGGTTGTTTTTTAAGTCACCCCTTTGACGGGCACCGAAGATGGATGAGTATTTTCTTTTCAAGGTTTCTCAGTCTATTCACGGAGGTGGTTCTTTTTCTGAACTAAACCGACTTATTGTAATAGTTGACTCATTCCGGTTTGAATTAGAGTTCGGCGCGTGAAACCGTCCTGGCTACTGAATGTAAGCCCTCTGAAGGTAGAAACTTGTCTTGATCTTCTTTGTGACCTCTCCTCCTTTAGGGGGCAGGGTTTTGTGTAGAGACAGCATCTGGTGTTTGATGAATGGAACCCAGCCTCTGAAAGTACTGTTTTAGAACCATCGACCCTGCTAAAGAGCTCTAGAACCCCTAATGAGCTTTTTTTTTTTTTCTTCCTCTAGGAAGCACCGTGTTTGATAAATAGAACCCAGCGTCCCCAACAGCTATTGTAAAGCCGGGCGCAGTGGCACACCCTTGTAATATCAGCTACTCAGGAGGCTGAAGCAGGAGGATCACAATTTGGAGGCCAGCCTTAGCAATTTAGTGAGACCCTGTCTCAACATAAAACATAAGAAAGACTGGGGGGTGTGACTCAGTGCTTAAGCACCCTTACATTCTATCCCCTGGTACCAGGAAAAAAAAAAAAAAAAACTATTGTAGAACCACTCACTCTGCATTCTAAAGAATTGCTCTAGAATTCCTAGTGGGAATCTCATTCTTTTTTGTATGAAGCACCGCAGGCCTTGAGAAAACCCTGTGTCTTCAGTGTCAGTATGGATTCCTCAAATTATGCAAGGATGGAGAATCTTCATTAGTGTTAAATGCATTGCCACCAACATATGAGATGGCTTCATCACAAAGGAAAGGACTGCAGGCAAGAATTCTCAGTTCTGAAGAAGAGGAGAAACTGAAAAGAGACCAAGCTTTGGTGTCTGATTTTAAACAACAAAAACTGGAAAAAGATGCTCAGAAGAACTGGGACCTTTTTTACAAAAGAAATACTACCAATTTTTTCAAAGATAGACACTGGACCACCAGAGAGTTTGAGGAGCTAAGATTATGTAGGGAGGTAAGCTAATATTTCACCTTATCCTGAACTGTTCTTCATTTGGAACAGGTGTGTGGAAGAGGGGTGCTTTATTGCATTCTGAAGGCAGTGTGAAGTAGAAAATTTATGAAGTCTATCAAAATGCTTGGTACCTTAGGAAAGAAATATGTATTTGGTCCGTAGTTTTAGCGATTTTTAGCTAATGTTTAGAAGAGAGGACACGCATAGATTTTCTGTTTTTTTTTTTTTTTTAAAGACTGCTCTGAAAGTTGTAAATATTAAATATTCATTTGTACTGAGTGAATTTAGTGACAAATTGAAAATAATAGCAATTAATGAACTATTGTGGCCCTTTTTCTAAGAAGACTTGTTTTCTCAAACCTAAATCTGCGAAGTGTATTGTTATTCCCATTTGTATGTAAAGCTGAGGCCCAGGGCTATTGAAGTGATTGCCCAAGGATAGACTGCAGGGGCAGAGGAGGATTTGGGGTTTGAGTGCAGGTAGTTTAGCTTCAGAATCTGTTCAGTTAGCCAGTATATTGGGTTTTTTTCTGCACAACCTGCCCAATGTTGGATGATGATATGTGAGGTACCGGTATTAACTTTTATTAGTTCTGTTGTTTATCATCTGTTCAGTGGGATGAAAGACTTTGTCGCTCACATTCTGGGTCTTTTAATTTGGTTTATTTCTTCATTATTCAAATATAATGTATTATAACTTTAGGTTCTCTTTCACCAGTTTGAAGGCCAAAAATTAACCATGCTTGAAGCTGGTTGTGGGGTTGGAAATTGTTTATTCCCGCTTTTAGAAGAAGATATGAATATCTTTGCCTATGCCTGTGATTTTTCTCCAAGAGCAGTTGAATTTGTTAAGGTTGGTACACCATTTATGTGTTTTGCTATGTTTCTGTTTTCTTTTGTGTTTGACCTGCCCTTTGCATCCATTTGCCTAATTGCAGTTCTCTTTCCAGTCCTCTCTCTGATGCTGATCACTGTGAATGTAATTTTCCTTTTACATACATATGCAACACGTATAGAAATACATCTCTATTCAAGAAAAATATATACTTTACACCTGCTGTATAAACGTTTTTCTTTGCTGAACTATTCTAAAGTGAATTACAAACATCAAGACTCACTCCTAAATTTGTCTCCCCAAAATAAGGCCTTTTTTTTTTAAAATATAACCACAATTAGCTTATATCCAGCAAAAATAACATTAATTCCCTAATGTCTTTAATACCTATCCCAGATTCAAATTTCCCCAAGTAGGTCCAAGTTATCTTTTCTTTTTTTTTTTTTTTCAATTTATTTTTTTAGGTATAGATGGACACAACACAATGCCTTTATTTTTATGTGGTGCTGAGGATCGAACCCATGTCCCACCCATATGCTCTACCACTGAGCCACAATCCCAGCCCCCCAAGTTATTTTATATAGCTATTTTCAATCCAGTCACAAACTACCTCTTACCCTTATGTCATTTAAATCTCCTTAGCTTAAAATGCTCCTGTCTTCCTGTCCTGAACTATGATTTTTTCCACTGAGTTTTTGGAGATATCAAGTCAATTTTCTATAATAAGGCCTTAGGTTCCAAGTTGGTCTGATTGTTTCTTGGTATTATTGTTTAATTTGTTCCTTCTATCCTCTATATTTCATGTAAACTAAAAGTTAGGTTTAAATCAGGTAAAATTTGGGTGCATAAATATATTTATTTATTTATTTATTTTTGTATTTTTAATTGTCAATTTTATTTATTTATATGCAGTGCTGAGATTTGAACCCAGGGCCTCACACATGCCAGGCAAGTGCTCTACCACTGAGCCACAACTCCAGCCCCGCATAAATATATTTATAGGTGATGTTGTATTTTGCATATTGCATCCTGTCAAGCGATAATATCTGGTGATCTCCTTACAAGCTGTAGTAGTCGTCTTACTCCCTAGGTTAAGGTAGCAATTGCCTAATTCCCCTACTATAAAAATATTTTTCTTTTGCCATTAACAAATATGTGGGGGGCACTTTGACAACATGCACATCAACCTTTTGCAGTTTTAACATCCATTAGATCTTTAATAGTTGTAGATAGTGTCATATTTAATGTAACTTGATGTTTTTCACTCTACATTATTATGTCTTACAGTTTTTCATGTTAGTACATGTAGATTACCACATTATACACATATCTGTTATAAAAATTCCATAAAATGGATAGATATACTTACATAATAGTTACCTTGTTGTTATTCATCATTTATATCATTTCTAATTTTTTTCTCTTACAAATAGGGGGTTTATGTGATGGGTATCAAACATATGATTCTTGGGTATCAAAACGTGTATACATTTCTCTGTGATGGACAATGGAAGAAGTAGAATTTTTTGGAAGAAGAATAAGCACATTTAAATTTTTATAGCTACTACCAGGATTTCTTCCAAAAAGATCGTACCAATTTATAATTTCACCAATAATTTAAAGATACCATTTCTCAATATTTGATATCTGTCTTTTATTTTTGTCAATCTTTGGGCAAAAAGTAATGTCCCCATGTTTTGTTCTTTATTACCAAAGATACTGAAGACCTTGCAATATGTAAATATATATTTTTTTCCTGCCATGAAAAAAAAAGTACTTATCTTTTGCTGTTACCTCATAGCTCTTAAATGTTGTTTGGGTTCCCCCCCGCCTCAACTTTATTCTTCCTTGCATTTTCAGTTTGTATAATTTCTATCATCTGTCATTAAGTTCACTGATTCTTTCCTAAACAGCAGTGTTCCTACTGATGAACTTGTCAGAAGCATAATTATTCATTTTCTTGACCATGTTTTTGGTTTGGGGCATTTATATTTGAGTTTCCATTAGTAAAATTAGCTACCTAATCTTGCACATGGTCTATCTTTTCCATTAGAGCCTTTAACATTTTAATCATACTTATTTTAAATACCCAAACTTTTAGTTCCATCGTCTATGTCATGTTTGAGTCTAGCTCTAAAGATTGCTTTCTTCAGAATGTTTTTCTTGTCTTTGGTATGCCTTGTACTTCTTTATTGAAGCTGGACATATTAGGGCAGGAGATACTGAGGTAATAGGAATTTGTAATAATCTAGCCAGGAGCTGGGGTGTGTTTGAAGCTGTAGCTGTAGTTACTTGTGAGGTTTGTTGTTGCTATGGGCACCAGACTTAAAACCCTCTGGTGGCTTGCCTTTGGATATTCCCCTATTCTTTTCCCCAAATAGAGTCTGTCTCTCGCACTTTCCTGGTTGCAATTTATGGATATTATTATTTGGGACTTCTTGGTGGGCCATGGGAGAGAGTATTATTATTCACTAATGCCACTCTGCGGTGCGCCTGTGTCTCAGTGGTATGACCTTCATATGTCTTTCTACTTACAGCTTTTCTTATCCATCGCTCTCCCAGCTGCAAGATGTATCTACCAATGTCCCCTCTTGATCTTGAGGCTGTTCTCCATGCAGACTGATTGGACTAGGGCTGAGTGGTTCTCTTGCCCCAGCTGCAGAAGTATTCTATAGTGTCCTTAGGTTGCAGGCCTCAGGTGACCTTTTCATGCAGATTCAGCATTTTCTTCCTTAAAGGATATGAGAAAAACTACCACCAGAAAGCACCATCCTTTCCTTGAGAGCCTAGCCTATTACCCCTTTAGAGGGCTGGAAACAGTTCTATATTTTCACATTCCATTGCCCACTTTTGGTCTCTAGCAATTTGCCAAATTTCTAGTTTTGTCTGTCTAGATAGAGGGCTTTTGCCTCAGGTAAGCCAGTGCTTGGGTCTTGTGTCTGCCTGATAAAAACACATCTTTCTCCAGATTTTGGGCTGGTGGGTTCTGTGATCTCTGTCCTTTGATGGGTTCACAAAAATCTTTTTTTTTTTTTCTCTTTTTTTCTCTTTCCAGCTATTTTCTTGTAAGGGCAGGAGCTGTGTCTTCCCATTTCTGTGTATCTCTGAGCTAAAACTAAAAGTTGTAACACTAACCGATTGAGAAATTCATTTTCCTACTCTGATAATTATCACCTTCTTTATCTTTTTATCTTAATTGTTACATTTGTCATGTAAATGTTAAACTCTCCCACACACAGGTGTTTGGGGACTTTATTCTGTCTCAGTGATCTCCTTCTCAAACCACATTGTTTTATTATTACTACATTTTGCAATGTTTTGATGTTCCATGGTGTATCTCCTTTTTCATTTTAAAAATTGACTTTTGCTTCCAGATAAATTAGATTTACCTTGGTAAGTTTCTATAAGTCTATTGGAATTTGGTTGAGATTGCATTGGATCTATAGGTGGAATTATGAATAGAATTGACATGTTTTCAATATTGAATTTTCCTTCCAATAACTTTATGTATCTATCTAATCAGGTCCTCATTTATATGGAGGAACAACTTAATATTTTTCATGTGTTGAAGCCCGCCAACCAAAATATACCAGGAACATACTTGTAGTAAAAAAAAAAAGAAAAAAAATTTAGTTTTCTTCATCAAAGGAAGATATGCTCCAGAAGAGCTGTGGGAGCCTCCCAAGAAGGGGAATTGGAAGGCTTCCCACAGGATTTAGGCTTAAAGGGGATGATTCAGAGGATTAAGGAAGCACAGATCAATTTTATATTATCATCCCTCTGCAAGTACACATTTCTGAAATGCTCAGTTTTGAACAAGTGATAGACTATATTCTCTCCTCAATTAAAAATGATTTGCTTAAGTGATACCTTGCCTCTTGTTTTGAATAATGAATGCTTTACATGGTTTTATCCAGTAAGAAGAGTTGGTTTTATTTCTGTGTAGCAGTATGCAGCTAGAAATAGAATCTTCTTTTGATGGTATATGTTTTGTATATGTCAGCATGGCGGTTGCATTAAAATTCTTTTTTTGCTTTTTTCCCTCTCTAGCAAAATCCTTTATATAACACTGAGAGATGCCAGGTATTCCAGTGTGATCTCACTAAAGATGACCTTCTGGATCATGTACCACCAGAATCTGTGGACGTTGTCATGTTGATATTTGTGCTCTCAGCCATTCACCCTGATAAGATGCACCTTGTTTTAAAAAACATTTACAAGGTTAGTAGTATGGGGTCTGTACTTGAGGGTTGGACATCCAGATCCCCAGGTTTACCTTCCCTCTGAGGTTCGAGTACTGTTGAGAGTCAAAGGCTCTTCATTCTCACTATGTAGATTGTGTTTTCAGCATATGAAAAGGGGTTCTCTGGCATAAAATACCCACCGTAACTTTGGATTTGTTCAGTGCTGTGACTGTTCTTAGAGTTTGGCCAGCCCTAGAGCAAGGATGATTTTGAGATCTGTGGAGGTGAGAGGAATAAGAAGTTCAGTGGATGCGAAGTTAAGAATGCCTAGACACAAAACCTGGTTTTACCACTTAGGCAAGTTCCTTCACCTGTGAATGTTGAAGTAATAGCTCCAAGATTTAGGATTTGAGGAAGATTGGATGAGATGGGTATAAAGCACAATGCCTAGAACACGGTAAGCCTCTTCAAAAGTCAGCCATTAGGGTGTTGCTGCTGTCATTATTGTAAGTAAACTGGGAAGAGTCCAAGCTGCTGTTGCTATCAGGAGGCTGCTGTAGCACTCAGGAAGTAAAGATTCACTCATGAAGTCATGTGTCTTAAGACAAGCCATCTGCCATCTCTGAACCTCAGTTTCCTTGTCTGTAAAATGGGAGTGTCTCACAGAGATGAAGGTGACATCATGAATCTGGGCACTTTATAAACTATAGTGGAAACTTACCTATTATAAACAATTGGTTGCAGTGTTGGTTAACTTTAAAAATCAATTAAACCAAGAAATCTTTAAAAGTGTTAAACATTTTATTATATATTAAAATGTAGGGGCTGGGGATATAACTCATTGGTAGAGTGCTTGCCTTGCATGCACAAAACCCTGGGTTCAATCCCCAGCACGCACACACACACAAAAGTGTTGAGTTTTCATCCTGGCATTACTCCTGATGGAGGGCCAAGGCCCTTTTTTTTTTTTTTTTAAGATATGGATGGACCATTAATCATTTACATAAACCACATATAATATTTTTAGTGTTTTTAATTATTTTGGGAGGGTAGGGTGGTACTAGGGATTGAGCCCAGGGGAGATTTACCACTGAGCTACATCCCCAGCCCTTTTTGGTTTTTATTTGGAGTCAGGATCTCACAGAGGCTGGCTTTGAACTTGACAATCCTTTCTCAGCCTCCCAAGCAGCTGGGATTGGCCATGCACCACCACACCTGGCAGTTTTAGTGACTCTAAAAGTGGAATAATAAGCCTGGCACAGTGGCACATGCCTGTAATTTCAGCTACTGGGGAAGCTGAAGCAGAAGAATTACAAGTTTGAGGCCAGCCTGGGCAACTTAGCAAGATCCTGTCTCAAACAAAAAAGGGCTAGGGATGTAGCCCAGTGGTAGAGTGCTTGCCTAGAATGTGTGAGGCCCTGAGTTCAATCCCCAGTACAAAAAAAAAACTCAAAAAACAACAACAAAAAAAAACGGTGAAGCAAGAACTTAAAAGAATTGGAAAGTAATCTAAGGGCAGATTCTATCAAGTCTTTTCAAAATGATCTACTTTTTATGGAACATTTAAGTGCTTCCTATTGGTGTACATATTTCATTGTTATATATTCAAGTTACAGAATTATAATTTAAGTATTACTGGCATAAGCAAATTTGGGAACAAAGACAAGTGACCAGTGTAAGTGCGCAGCTCACAGCAGGTGTGGGGAGTTGCTAAAGTGCAGAAGCATGTGCTCTGCAAAATCCACAGCCTGCACCATTCAGGAAGTCTCAGGCCACAATCACTCTGCATTCAGATGGAGATGAGATCAGTCAGCAAGTCGAGGAAGCTAGATGTTGGGTAAGAGAACTTCATTGAACTACACTGAACTCGGGTGCTTAACCACTTAGCCACATTCACAGCCTTTTTTCATGTCTTATTTAGAGGCAGGGTCTTGCTGAGTTGCTTAGGGTCTCGATAAGTTGCTAAGGCTGACTTTGAACTCAGATCCTCCTGCCCCAGCCTTCTGAGCCAGGAGGATTATAGGCATGCACCACAGTGCTTGGCTCCTGGTATTAACTTGTAAAATTAGTATAAGATAGAAGTCACTATAAAACTAGAAGTCACTAGAAACCTATTAGGGAATTATTCTCCCTTATTTTTAAACATTTAGATCTCTGCACACCAATATTAGCCCTCTCCTTATGAGTTTTGTGAGTTTTTTTTCTTCCTTATTTCTACTCTCTCTGCCCCTCGTATCTGAACAGGTGAGAATTCAAAATGCTCCAGAACCTGGAACTTAAGCTAAAGGGGGGGGGGGGGGGGAAGCATCAGGGAAAACATGCTAGGAAATACCTGATTTGGAGGGTTAGGTGAGGGTGAAGGGTTATTGACATTGGAAACTAGAGAAAGAACAGGAGAAGCTGAGGAGCTTGAACAGAGAGTGACTTGTCCAAATTGAAAGTTTTAGTTTGTTTTGATTTTGTTTTTGGTACTAGGTATTGAACGCAGGGGTGCTTTAACACTGAGCTATATTCCCAGCCCTCTTTTTTTTTTTTCAATTTTGTGTTAGGGTCTCACTAAGTTGCTGAGGCTGGCCTGAAACTTGCCATCCTCTTGCCTGAGTCACTGGAATTACAGGAGTGTGCCACCACACATGGCTGGGTTATACTACTTGGTATTAACAAAGCATATTAGACATTACTGTGGGAGTAAATGGTATAGATAGGGTGGAGGACAAGATCTCAAGAAGAGAGAAGCCCAAACTGTGAAGAGGTCAGCATATTTGGAAAGATAATCCACATGTATATTGAAGTTGACCAGAATTAAAAGTGGAATAGCATTCAGATAATACAGTAAACCAGAAAATACATTCCTCACAAAATGGAGGGAAATGACCCTGGAATCAATAGATGACTCAAGAAAAGATAGTAGGTGATACAAGGAGAAAGAAGAATTCACAGAAAATAGCAAGGCCTTGTGGTGCTACAAAGGTGATGGGAGAAAACAGCCTAACTTGAAAGGGGATGGTCAGGATTCTGCGAGAACAAGAATATGAAGACTCTATTCAAAAGAGGTGATGGTGCTATATCAGGGATTTCGTGAATGAAAGGTTTTCAGTATTCGGGAGGAGTTGGGGATATAGATAGGGCATACAGTCATGTGTCACTTAACAAAATTCAATTTTATTATTGTGTAAAGTATACATTGAGTACATAGATGTTACAACTACTACACACCTACACTTCATGGTATATATTTATATGAGCCTATTGTTCCTTGGGCCACCAATAAACAAAATAATACATGATTCAATCAAGCACAAGAGAAAAATGATGCGTTCAAGAGACACAGTAAACAAGGTATGTGAGACTGCTGCTACAGGTTTTTGTGGGATTTTGATGTTGTTGTTGTTGTTGTTGTTGTTTTGGTTCTGGGGATTGAACCCAGAGGCACTTAACCACTATGCTACATCCCCAGACCTTTTATATATTTTATTTAGAGATAGTCTCACAAAGTTGCTTAGGGACTTACTAATTGCTGACTCTATCTTTGAATTCATGATCCTCCTGCCTCAGCCTCTGAGCTTACAGACATGTTCCACCATACCCAACTGCTGCTGCAGTTTTGAAATAATCTTTTTTTTTCAATTTTTTATTTGTTCTTTTTCGTTATACATGACAGTAGAATATATTTTGACATATCATACATACGTGAAATATGACTTCCCATTCTTGTGGTTGTATCTGATATGGAGTTACACTGGTTACACATAGGAAAGTCTATGTACCACATTTTCTTTATCCATTCATCTATTTAAGGGCAGATTTTAAGTCCTCTGGGTATATGCCAAAGAATGGGATAACCGAGTCAAAAGGTGTTTCATTCCAAGTTTTCTTAAGAATCTCCATACTGCTTTCCAGAGTGATTGTACCAATTTGCAGTCCCACCAACAATGTATGTTAAACTTTTTTAATAAGTAGAAGGAATATATTTTAAAATGAAAAGAAATAACACATAATTTCATGATTTGAATGTGGATCAAGTGTGTTCTCCCAATGGTTCATGTATTAGAAGCTTGGCTGCCTGTGTGGCAATATGAAAAATAGTGGAACCCTTGAAATAGGACCAATTAAAAGGTCCTTTGGTCATTTAGGCCTTCCCCTCAGAAAGGATTGAGGCAGTTCTTGTTGGATATTTGGTTAATTCTCATAAAAGATTTGTTAAATAGAGAGAAAGCCTTGCTCCTCCTGCACTCTGGTTTCCCGTCTCGCTGTGAGATCTCTTTCACACATGTTCTTCTGCCATCCCAAATTCAGAGCTGATTCCAGGATCATGCCCTTGAATCTCTATAACTGTGAACTAACTAACTACACCTTTTTTAAAATAAAGCTTCCCACCTCAGGTATTTCACTGAAGTAATGAAAAACAGACCAAGACATGTAGTTAAAACATAAACAATCATTATCATTAAGTGTTATGTACTGTACATAATTGCATGTGCTATACTTTTATATAGCTGGCAGTGTAGTATGTTTCTTTATACCAGCATCACCACAAATAGCATAATATGTTGTGCTGTGACTATGACAGCTATGATGTCACTAGGTAATAGGAATTTTTCAGCTCCATTTTAATTTTATAAGACCACTGTCATATATGCAATCCATTGTTGACCAAAAATTCCTTACATGACATGTGACTATATTTCTACTCAACATTGTACTGGAGGTGCTAATCAGCTCAAAAATATAAGATTTGATTTAAAAATTTGGGGCTAGGGAAATAGTTCAGTTGGTAGAATGCTTGCTTAGCATGCTCTGGGTTCAATTCCCAGCACCACCAAAAAAAACCCCCACAAAAACCCTAATTTAAAAATTTGAGAATGAAAAAGAAATGTGTTACTTGTAGAAACTATAAATTCTAATTTTCTAATCAAAAACTATTAGAACAGCTGGGTGTGGTGGTACGTACCTGTAATCCTAGCTATTTGAGAGGCTAAGGCAGGAGGATCGCAAGTTTGAAGCCAGCCTAGGCAACTTAGTGAGACCCTGTCTCAA